TTGATATTTTTGTATTATTTTTAAAACATCTTCGTCCTCTGGTACTGTGCTGTCTAGAATAATAGGATTTCCTTCGTACCGAACAATTTCACCGTTTTCAAAAATTAAATTAAGTTTCCCTAAATATTTTGTGTTATAATATGCTTGGACTACTGGTACGAGTCGTCCTGATTTCTGTTTGACCATAGTAGGATAAGGTCCTTCAGGAATTTCTATATCAGGAGCTGGACCGTTCCATAGAAATGTATTTGTATGTCCTCCAATTATTAAATCAATATCTTCTACTTCTTTCGCGATTTCGAGGTCTTTGACAAAACCAGAATGCCCTAGGCCAATAAAGATTTCCACATTAAATTTTTTGAGATTTGATATTTCTGTTTTTATCGCTTCGATTTCTTCAATGTACTCAATATTATTTTTAATTGCTGTAAATTTTGTATCCGGAGTTAAATATCCAATAACGCCTATTTTAGTTCCATTTATATCTAATATAATAGATTTCATGAGATTGCTTTCCACTTCCAAACTTGGTTCGTTGGTCAGAATAAGATTTGAAGCCAGTACTGGACATGTAACATTTTGTATAAAAGGTGTCAAGCCTGAAACACCATTGTCAAATTCATGGTTACCCAGCGACTGAAACAAACATATTAAAAGTAAGAAAATAGATTAGAGAACATTATCAATTATTGAACGTTATTAGTTATTAATATTTATTATTATTATTACGATGTAAAGTTTAGTAATTAAATAAACAAAACATTTTGTTATTGCATTGTTATTTAACAAAAATAAAGCTCAGCTAAGCCTGGAAAGTTTTTGGAAACTACAACAGGATAAGAGTTTTCTAATTAAAATAACATTTTTCATCATTTATAATCTGCATGCAGGTTATAAAAAAAATGTATGGCATGCAGTATGTGTTCAATGAGAACTACAAGTATAGTAAAATATCATATTATTAATCACTTACTAAGTATATTTACCCAGATTTTGCGGAAAAAGTTTGCAACGCGAACTTCGGAAAAAAGATTTAAATGTCAAAATGTTAGAGTAAAGTTAGATTAAATTACTACTTGTCATAGAATTACGTTTATTTTTAGAATATATATAAAAATAAATATTATAGGAGATAACGTAGTAATACACATAATACAAGCAAAATTGTTGATCTTAAAGTAGTAGCGGAGTTTGGAGAATAGCCGAGTACGATACGGTTTGCTACTTCTGGATATACAGGACTACGAAGTCGTATGAATTCTGATGTAGAAGCTATTTCATCGTAAATATAGTCTTCTCGCGGAAGTCCTTTAATCATATGGTAATCGAATTCTCCATTAGCTAAAGCTGCGGGCATTAATATTTTATAGCTTCTCCAATCATCGATGCTGTAAAATTCTGGTACGAAACAAGTACCACATCTTGCAACAGCGTTCACTACCCTAGATCCTGGTTCTCGAGCTATATTGTACTCTACACGAATTCCAGAAAATTGCAGAAATCTTCCAGACGGGTTTTCTTCATTGTAATCAGCCACAGAATGCTCTAAGATTTCTTTTAAAACATTCCCAGTCACAGTTACTGCAGCGACATTGCTTTCCAGAGGCAGAGCAGATTCTAAATCACTTCTAGTGACGAGAGCGGGTCGATTAGCTGGCGCTATAGAAGCTGCTATGGCACCTCCGTGTATGATAGCTATAGGAGCGTCTGTCCATGGTTCTGTTCCATCAAACCGAAGTGCATGATAATACATCATGGCGTCTGTAATCAGATTTCCGATGTTACATTCTGTTTTGCTGCAACTCGAACCGTCGAGTACCACAGCTGTTTTTCCAATAACTTCATTGGATTTGGTATCCATTTTATAATCAAGTTTTTCGACAAGTTTCAGGGCTTCAGGATCCTCAGATTGTGTAAAATCTAGTAGAATTGGATCTGCTGTATATTCAATAAATTCACCGTTAGAATCAAATTTAACATGAAGCTTCCCAAGGTATTTACTGTAAGTAGACGATTGTATTACAGGGACACGTTTGCCCGATGATTGGGTTACAACAACTTTCTCGTTTGGAATGAATTCCGTGTTCGTACCATTCCAAAAGAAAACGTTTTTGTGTCCGGATATAACAAAATCAACGCCATCGATTTCTTTTGCTATTTCGATAGCCTTCTTCAAGTTTGAGTGACCGAATACTATAATAATTTTAACACCTCGCTTCTGCAAATTCAACACCTCATCTCGGATAGCCACTAATTCATCAATGTATTCAACTTCATCAGTATGTTTTAGAAGCTCTGTATCAGGTGTGAGGTAACCAACTAGTCCTATTTTAACGCCATTGACGTCCACGATGATTGATTTGTGAAAGTTTTCATTTTGCTCAGCAGATTTTAGTATTACATTACTGATTGTTATGTTCGTTTGGATGGTTTGAAGGAGCGGTGAGAGTTTTCCAGTTTCGTTTATTTCGTTGTTCCCAAGAGACTGAAAAATTAAACAATATTCTTCATTAATTTAGTATTCATAACTAAATAAATTGAAGTTTAGTTATTGCTGGCATGCATATTAGTTGAATTTTTATTAGGGTTAAACTTTATAGTGTGGTTTAGTGGATATTGACTATTCTTGAAGTTATACTTCTTTTGACGCGTTTGGGAAAATCTATTATAGTTAATTTATAGTGTTAATGAAATTTAATTTGAAATAAACTATGGACATAATTTATTTAAAGCTTTATGGCTATATTTAAGGAAATATTATTTGTGAGTCAAATGTTCTGTTGATCAATAAATAAATGCTTTGAACGTTGATTTCGTAAATAAATCAAATAGACCGAAGCAGTATAACTTCTTACGTGTACACAGGTACAAACAGGTTTTGTTTTAAATTAAAAACCAAAACCTCCACAATTATCATAATACAATTTTAGTTCAGTGTGAAAATTTTACAGTGCAATTTTTTATCTTTTACCAACCACCCAACACCGCAACCATGACAAAATAAAGAAATGCAACATATACTTATAAGCAAATGACTTATATAAATAAAACATAAACACGTAAATGGGACTGTTTGTTAAAGTTTTTTAAACAAATAATTTAAAAACCAGTCAAGGCGTGAACATTGTTAAAAGGTATTAATTGGCGAAATTGATATGAGTTTAATTGTTTTAACTCACATGTTAATATGTACAAAGCGTGTTTTATGTTAGTTAATTGAATTGGAACGTCTCGATTATCATTCGTTTTTAGTAAAAAAAAGTATATTTTGAAAACAACTTACTCGATCCTTAATATGAGAATTTGCTCATTTTCTCCAAACTTTAAGATTTTCTCAATTCTTGAGAGTGATGTGCCTTGATGTTATTCCGTTAATTTGACATAATAAAATAACTTCCTTCGCCTCGTCGAATTAGAAAATGCAAAACGTTTTAAAGAGTAATCGTGTCAAGCTCTAACAAAATAATTATAATGATATGTCTGTGAATGAAATTGCAGACATAGTTGGCGTTCGTTTTATACATATAAAACCTATGTAATACTTAAAAAACGCTGGAAATCGTTGTTTCCAATGAGACCGGCGATAAGAGTAGTTCATTGAAAAGCTACATAGATAGTACGATGGTGATTAGTTTTCTTGCCAAAGGGATACTTCTGACGGGAAAAAAGAGGAACCAGTAAACAAATTCTAAAGCGCTTACTAATCACACGAGCGGGTTTTTAGCTTAGAACTAGACTGAGTCATTTCTTGTCGTGGGTGTCGTAAAATTCGACAATGGGACTCTTTTGGCCGTGACCATTTAATGCCAAAAATAGCATTCCCAAGAAGGGTTGATGTCAGACAAGCGGATGTTCGTAAAACTCACAGAAAATCTCTACACGCCATGCTGCGTCGACTTCATATAATTGGGATAAGTCCAGAAAAAAATGGTCATTAATATTATTTACGAGAGAAAAATTCTTGTACTGTTTGCAAAATAAAAATTACTGATTTTTTTGGGAATATTATAACAGATTTATTACGTCCAATGAGGTAGCGGGTCTGGATTTCATATTTATTATTACAATAACTCAAGGTTCTGTCGCTTATTAAATCTAAAATAATTCAAAATTATTAGATGATAAGTTTTCGATAAGAACTAAATTCATGTATCTACAATATAGGCATACAAGTAAAATATATTAGGTTTTTTTTTTTTGCTTAGATGAATGGACGAGCTCACAGCCCACCTGGTGTTAAGTGGTTACTGGAGCCCATAGACATCTACAACGTAAATGCGCCACCCACCTCGAGATATAAGTTCTAAGATCTCAGTATAGTTACAACGGCTAAAGGCCGAAAGGTGGGGCCTTTCGAACCGAAACGCATTACTGCTTCACGGCGGAAATAGACGGAGTGGTGGTCCCTACCCGTGCGGACTCCCAAGAGGTCCTACCACCAGCGATTACGCAAATTAGAGTTATATTATAGGATTATTTTTAGGTTATGTAATTTATCGTTAATCAAATCAATCACTCAAAATCAATACTAAGCCTCCCAACTACACCTTTCGTGGTGTCAATCGGATAATATATACATAGACTAGCTGACCCGGCAGACTTCGTAGTGCCTCAATCGATAAATAAAAGACCTAAACTTTAGTATAAATTTGAGCATTTTCATATTTAACTACCTTTTAAACCTTCCCTCGACTTCCACAAATAATTCAAGACCAAAATTAGCCAAATCGGTTCAGCCGTTCTCGAGTTTTAGCGAGACTAACGAACAGCAATTCATTTTTATATTTAAAGATGAAGACGATATGATATCGAAAAATGTGGATACATACACTAAAGTTTAGTGTTTAGTGACTAAACCGACATCACGCAATATTGATAAATCCTATTCACAAAGCCCTAAGTTTGGAGCGAAAGCGACATATCGACAAGACACACGAGACGATCAACACACAACTGCTAAAACGCTTTTTTTTTTTTCTATAATTGTAACAAATTCTTACCACAGCATCCGGTTGAAGAGCGTTGATGAACTCTGCAGCTATTTTCCATTTGTACTGGGCGAACCAGGGCGAGCCCGTGTACGTGTCACCAGCGTTGAGATACAGCACCGGAGGGCCTTCGCCTGTCTGAGCTGCTTTGCGTGCCTGCTTTACCCTGTAACATTATTAATTAACATTATTACTGGTGGTAGGACCTCTTGTGAGTCCGCGCGGGTAGGTACCACCGCCCTGCCTATTTCTGCCGTGAAGCAGTAATGCGTTGCGGTTTGAAGGGCGGGGCAGCCGTTGTAACTATACTGAGACCTTAGAACTGATATCTCAAGGCGGGTGGCGCATTAACGTTGTAGATGTCTATGGGCTCCAGTAACCACTTAACACCAGGTGGGCTGTGAGCTCGTCCACCCACCTAAGCAATATGTAGCAATGTTTCATTGTAAAATTCATTGTAAAAGCGTGGGGTGCATAGTATCAGTAGTTATAAATATTTTATGAACAGATATGGGTATTATGAGTAGAAGGGTTATTTTGATAATATCCTGAAAAGCACCCCACGCTTTTTTACAAACAATAAAATATTTTTTTCTTACACTATTTTTAATTCAAATTTATTAAAATTAATTTTCTATTTTTTAGTAATATTGAATTGTCATCGGTCTTTAATAAGTATGGCAAATTTCGAGTTAATCCGACGTTTTGAAGGGGGGTGTCAAAATCATGTTCAAAGATTCCGTTACATACTAACATACATACGTCTGAAACTAATAAAAGCGTATTAAAAATACGTACAGGTAAGCGACCCTCGCGAAACCTCCGTAGCATTTTCCTGCATTCATGTCGGCTTCGGTACACACTCCGCTCAGTTGCGAGGTCTGTTCGAACTTGGCGTGCATGTCATTGTTGTGCAGGATCAGCAGCTCAAATGTACCGTCCTTGTTCGTACGCGCCACGCTGCAACCCGTGAGCGACACCACTGCTAACGTTGCTATCAGCTGCGTTAAAAACTCCTGCAAACGAAATATATATATATATATCGTCTTTGCGCATTAAAAGGTGTACAATTTCCAAAAATATTCGAAATTGAGTTAATATACGGTATCATTTGGTATCACCAGTATTTTTTTCATAAATACTGTCAAATCGCGTAGTTTAGTTTTTTTTTTTTTAGTTTACCTATATTTTGACTACCATTAAAAAAAATTGTAAATAATTTGATCTTACTTTAAAAGACAGATAATGTAACTGGTAAAAAATAAAAAAATTATGTTGTAAAGTTGATTAATATTAAAAACTAGCTGACCCGGCAGACTTCGTAGTGCCTCAATCGATAAATAAAAAACCTAAACTTTAAAATAAACTTAAAACAAATAAAAGGAATCCGTTCGACGGGAGACACATCAAAGGAGAAACAAAATTGTTATTTTCATTTAATTCCGAGCATTTTCACCTTTTAAACCTTCCCTGGACTTCCACAAATAATTCAAGACCAAAATTAATCAAATCGGTCTAGCCGCTCTCGAGTTTTAGCGAGACTAACGAACAGCAATTCATTTATATATATATATATAGATAGATATCACATGTTAAACCTTTAAATCACTCCCTGTAAAATTAGTAAGTTTTGAGATTAAACAGTTTTAATGCGAGAAGACGATGTATGAAAATTATTAACCATAAATGAGAAATAAGTTATCAAAATACACATAATAAATTATCCTCCTTTCGCTAAAATTGTCGCGTCTATGATTTTTGAGACCCAAATTAGTCTGGATACCCCTGGTAGGCAGTAATATTGTGAAAGATAAATGGAATTTTTTTTTTTTTTTTTTGGTCAGGAGGAAATCGCCGGACTCCCACCCTCCACTGGGGATGGAGGGCGGGGCATGTCGGAGTCGAACCGACTAAAACTTCCTGTCGCTCAACAACCCACGTCCGAGCCTCGCATGAGACAGAACTCGTGAAAAGGCAAGGGGAGGAGAGTGAAGCGTTTAGTGGGAGGCACATCTCTCCCATCCCCCTCCCCCTCGGGACGCCGGGCCAGCGATCGTCGGCGCCACGACCACCAGCCCTCTCGGTCGGCAACCAGCATAGTAGGTAATTTCTTCGGTTTTCAGTTACGGGATTCTAAGACACAATTAAAGCTACTTTTATGGTTTAATTTCGCGTTATTTTAGGTACTGTCATTATATTATTTTTACAGCTTAATACTTTACGACTATTACATACGGACGTCTCGTTACGAAGAAAACTGTAAAGTACCCGAAACGTTCTTATTATATATGTAATATAATGCTAAAAAAGGCGTGATTAAATCGTAAAAGTATTATTTAGATAAGTAGGAAGTTACATAAAAATATATATATTTCTGTGTGCTTAGTGCGAGTTTTTTAACGTTCCCGATAGCGTAAAGTTAACTCAAATTTGTATGGAGTTGGAAAGTTTGCCTAGGTTTGCCGCTAGGGGCGCTGTTTCAAATCCATATATAATAGCCGGCAAACTTCTTGAGCATTTGTTGACGTAGTGGGGGTAAGTTTGCGCATGGTACACTCACGTGCAAAAACATTATTTAATCTGCGTCATAATGCAATTAAATTATTAAAATTAACATATGTATTTATTTATATATTTATGAGAACATCAACAAAAAATATAGATTAATAATTGTAATAATTTAATCTTGGGGTAAAATAGATATTCCTTCTATTAAGTCAAAACTAGAGCTGTTGCCAGGTCTTGGTTCAGTTTAAGCGAAGCTGGTATTTGTAATATTTTTTTTCGTTATCATAATCTTGACCATCATCATCACTGTTTTTATCACCCGAGTTGCTATCATCGTGATGAGTCGACATAGGGATCATCGGTGTAGTTTACAACTCGGTCGGTTCGGTCTACTTTTTTGTCTATAATTAATTATTTTTTGAAGATATTTGATTCGTAGTAATCGAATGTAACTTTTTTCAATTACCAGCTTCCGATTATTTTCTGTTTTTTTCCACACAACAAAACACTCAACAAATAGCAATGGCAACAAAGTCAACAAGCAATTATAACAAATAACTTAACGATTAATAACGATAGACTTTTCACTGTACGCAAGCGTACTTTTGGGAGCAAGCGGAACGAGGGCGCGGTGCGGGATGCAAGGTTCGACTGATCTACCAATAACGCGCTCGATACGATTTCCCCTGCCGTCGCGCCTCACCCTCACCACCAAAATGATCTAAAACTCGGTTCTGCGCAGTCAAGGTCATTTGCTCAAGAAGTTTGCCGGTTACTAGACGAGAACGTTAAAAAGCTCGAATTAAGCACACTGTTCCCATGTTTTTCTTCAAAGGTCATTAATGTTGTGGTAACGTTTAAGTGTTTACTACAGTAAGATCATTTTTAAAATTGTACAAACGATCTACCGTTGTATATCGCGTTGAGTGGGGACGCTTATGGATAACATAACATGAATGCTACCATCCTTGAGACATGAGGTCGAACTCGTAGTTGTATTGTACAATGGCTGTCTCACCCTTCATACAGGAAAGCATGACTGCTTTGTAGTACAAATAGGCTGGATAGCGGTATGCCTATGCATAGGTACTTATACCCATAGGGGATTACAATACGCACCACCACCCTAGCGCAACCTAGCACAACCCACTGAGTTTCTCGCTGGATCTTTTCAGTGGGTCGCGATTCCGATCCGACGGTAGATTCTGCGAAGCACTGTTCTGGCAAGGGCTAGTGTTAGAAAATTTTATCAGGTTGAGCCCGTGAGCTCACGTACCCGTCCGGGCGTAGCTGGAATAGGCCCTTAGGCTACCAGTGAATAGTTAAGGGGAAAAAAGACGACCAGTAATTTCGTTTTTTTTAATACGCTATATGTATGGCCAAATGCCGATTTGATCTGGTCGGTCCATCGCATGGGCAACCTTCCACGCGATCTGGTGCCTTCTACTTTGAGCCTGGCTTGTTTGACCAGATCAAGTCGGCAGTTGGCGGCTGTTTGCATGAGTGTACCAGGCTCACCACAAACCGGCAGGAGTGGCGAATGCTCGTGAGGCGCATAACATCTGCCCACAGCAATGATGCTGGGCGACGACCACGACCGCTCTGACAAGAGTGATACGACATACGAAAAAATATGTATGACAAGAATTAAACAATGAAAAGTTGATTTTAGAATACAACGACATTGAACAAATATTATTATGCATATAAAAGGATCAAAAGATAGTAAAATATGTTAGTTAAACACGTACTTTGCTGATAGTGTTTAATAAGATAAGTAAAATTACTTTGATACGTTGAAATTATGTAAATAGTTACCAATTGTATTTTGAATTAAAGTCGTATAGGAATATATAGTATAGAAAGGAAAGAGAAGTCGAAGAAGATTGGCAACCAGGTGGACGGACATTGTATAGGAGGCCACAAACACCAGCGTCCCGGGCGCCATTAAACAGGTAGAGAATGCCTTAGGCATTAAGTCCGCCAATGTAAATTTTACATGAAGTGTAATAAATAAATAAATAAACAGGCTGAATGCAGGCAACGTTGGAGGAAGCTGGTGCGGAAACTGGACCAAGGTGGTCACGACCATCAGTAACAAGGAAGCGACGAAGAAGAAGAGTGATACTATAACCATTAAGGATATAGTAATCCGGCAGGTGGGTGCGAATTTTTATATGAAGTTGCGCACTGAACAAATATCCACCAATGAGTACTACGATGAACAGTGTCGTGAAAATAAAACCCAAAAAAAGCGTAAATACTGGTGGTAGAGTCTTGTGAGCCCGCACGGGTAGGTACCACCATCTGCCTATTTCTATCATTAACCAATTGCGCATTAGCTTCAAGGGTGGAATGTTGGCAATTTGATAAAATTAATATGTACTTTTTTATTGCTTAAATGGGTGGACGAGCTGGCAGCCCACCTGGTGTTAAGTGGTTACTGGAGCCCATAGACATCTACAACGCAAATGCGCCACTCATCTTGAGATATAAGTTCTAAGGTCTCAGTATAGTTACAACGGCTGCCTTACCCTTCAAACCAAAACGCATTAATACTTCACGGCAGAAATAGGCAGGTTGGTGCTACCTACCCATGCGGACTCACAAGAGGTCCTACCACCAGCATGACTAATCGTGGGTTATGGTCATGGTATTCGAGTTGAGATGTCTATGGGTTCCGGTGGCCACACCAGGTAAGGAATATGCTAGTTTATTGATATATGTAACACAAAAACTCGTTATTTTGATACTAATTTATCCGACTAATTAATTTGAAAGTACGTTATTCTAGCCTGAAGCTATTTCTGTTTTATAATTGTAAATGCGGAAGACCATTATCGTGACGTCCTTGCCTACCTAACAATTTAATTCCTAAAACTGTACTCTCAATTCCTACAACAGATAATTTATCTTAGAGTAGAATAGCTACTGTGCCATTCAAATTATGAATTAGATCTTTCTTCAATGAAAAGAGCGGCGCTTTGATGGTCCCTGAGCTCACATGTCCAACGTCGCCAGTAAAAAAGGTCATAAAATAGTGCTGTCTTTTCATACTATTGTGTTGGGTCCTCAATGATGCTCATAGCTATTGGAATCTTTTGAATGCATTGCTATTATCGAATAACGTCTGATGCTAAAGGGCTGTCACTATAACAGGATTCATATGTCGATTATTGATTAAAAAATTGTTTAATTTCAGCAGAATGGTTTTGGCTTAGTCGGTATCATTACCGATACGATTATGTGAACACATATTTCTGTTATCTTGATTATCATAATTATCAACATACGGATATCTCTACTGTCTTTATTCAACTTTTTCTACAACGTGTAGATTAATGTCGTCCTTAACCAAATGTAATCTAAGGTTCTTTTGATGATTAGAGGTCCCACGCGACGGTTCTGTGGTTCATAGACATTTTAGGTGGTTTTTAAGCTATTGCATAGATTTTATCGCGGGCTTTGAGCGCCGCGACTGAATAAAGAAATTCCGTAACGAAAATAA